TTCTCATAAAATAATAAAAGTTCCTAACTGCAGTTAGACAGTTGAAAATATCATTTTTAACCAACCAAAATATTTACTGAAAGTAGAAAATAAAACTTGTTGACACAAAATGAAAAAAAAAATAATCAGATCCGAGATTTTTGCATATAAAATTTTAAAGAAGTCATTGAAATTCATTCACTGTCAGGTATGCTAATACATTAGGACTAACCTGCCTGCTTTTAACATGAAATTACAGGTTGCCATGACACTGACCTGAGGCCACAGCATCATGCAATCACAGAGGTCAATTTAATTTTGTTTTGTAATAAATCAACAGCTGCCACTATATTTTACATCACTGTAGATGGACAGGAAACTTGTTGGATATAATTATCTGGACAAAACCATCAAGTGATGAAGTTTGCGGCTCTAGCTCTCAACGATCAAGACAGATCGTCAGTCTTTGTTTGGCAACAACCATATAAATCAACAAAAGATAATTTTACTCCACTCACATTTTTCACAATGAGTTGGTTCACTTCCATAATTCTGAAAACTAGAAACAAATATAAATCAGTGATCAATGGAGTAATTGATTTAAGCAAATAAAAATAATACCTAATGTTCTAATTTAAGACAATATTTACCTTTAACTTTTAAGTTTTCTTTGATGAAAATGGTGATACAAATTTCAACAGATCTTTCCTCCTTATACTCTTTAACAATTCTTCCAACCATTCTGTGTTGCCAACGCTGATTTTGTTATCTTCAAGCAAACATTGAAACACATCAAATGCCTTTTCTTTGTTCTCTAAATCCCCTTTTGGTATCAGCCTATGAACATCACCACATAGATGTTTCAATGATTTCAATTCATCTGTAAAAAGTGACACAAGTCAATATAAGCATGGCAAATGTCAGTGACGATTCTCTCAATTTTGTAATGTATGAAATAGCTAAATATACCTTGTAGAAAATGTGAAAGATAATTTATATTTGGCAGACATGCTCACTACTGTGGTATTATGCTGTAATTTAAAGTTAAAACATGAAAGAGATCAGAAAATAGCACGTTGATAACCAAATGTTATTACTAATTTACCTTTCCTTATTTCCTTAGCAATATCAAAGAGCATCTTTTCGAATTCCGTTTCTCTTTCTGGATTCGTTGATGAAGAGGCACCTTCAGTTAAATGATCTTCTATAGTGACAATAATAAACAATTCAATTGAATAGCCACATTGAGTATGATTAATGCTTCAATAAATGACACAAGACACAAGGTTTTGGCAAAAGTGGAAGGGGGAGCGAATTGCAGACGCAGGCGTCGCAGCGAACAGCTCCATGATGCGACTCGCCTGTGAATTGCATCATGACGCCGAGCGCGTGGTACCTGGTTGCAAGCTTCCACCAGCAGAGACTGTACAGGCGGGCGTCATGGCTGGCGTCCCCCTGGCGGGAGCCTGCAGATAGACTCACAACCCCAGGGGGA